TCGAATGTGGGTACATAAATAGGTACCACTTTGGTGAGAAGGTAATAGTGTTCTCTGCATCTCAGCATATAACCATGCTAGCCACATGACCACAGAAAAGAACACTGGCTCCCTCAGCTAAAAAATGGAGATGAAAACTACGCCCTAGAGTCAGACATGACTGGACAGGGGAAACCTTTATCTTTATATAATCTCATATTTGGATTGAATTTTCAGTCATATGCTGTTTTTAACATCTATACAATTGTTCTGTTATTTTTACATTTCTTAAGAAAATTCATCTATCCTGATTTGATGGCATATATGCCAAGGACTTTTCCAAATCCAAAGAAATCTCTCTCAAGTTAGTATTAGAATAATTTTATCACAAGCAATATTAGTAGGAAAAAACATTTCCTAGATCCAACTTTAGAAAAGAACCAAACACTTCAAATTTGGAAAAGCCACTTTTTCCCTCAAAACAAGTTAGGCTAAAAACTCAAAACACCACCTTTAGTCACCTAAGATGGTTAAACAAAATCTGTCCCTTGAAATATATAACAGTCAATAGCAATAATATGAATCCATTTATTAAAAGATTTTATTCATAGTTGTCCTACATCACTAGATGTGGGAATAAAAATGAATAAAACAATTTTTAAAAATCTATACACAAGAAAAATCTGCAATATTTTTACTGCAATTACTGAATGAGGTGAAGCAATGTTTCAGCAACCAGTCTTTACAGTAGATGGCAATGATTGTGTTCCATATGACTAATTCCACTTTCTATTTCTATTCATCTCAAGATTTGGCAATTAGAGTTTTTTCAGCATTACCTAAGGGAGCTTCAGCAACATTGGTTGGAACAGTTTAAAGGGCTGATCTTGTACATCAAATTTCATCCTATCTATTATAATATTGGACATTGTGGTATAAGTACACAGGCAGATGCATATCTGTTATCACACCGATTATGAGTACCAATGTTTTCTTCCATATGTGGCTGTCCCTTACTGAATCAGGAGAAAATGTTGCTTTCCAATTACTGTATTTCTTGTTTTAAACATAATAAACTGTGCTCAGCTTCAGCAAGGAGAAAAGATGGTCTAGAAGAATAGCTCTTCTGTATTTCTAAAACCTAGTAAATCTTGAGAGGCCTTCTGAGCACAAAACTACTAGAAGATATCATCAAGCATATAGCAAGTATTGTTTAATAACTTTCCACATGGAAAGTCCACACAGTTTTAAAGGTAAAATCAGACTGATTTTATATTTTCATACATAACTCTTACTTGGTCACATCTGAAGTATCTAATAAAAGACAGAAAAAACTAAGGGAAAGCATAACCATAACTACAATACACACAGAATATCTTAAGCAGTGATTTTTCAATGCATACATACATACAGTGCTGCTTAGCAAAATCTCGGAGTCTTCCTTCTCTCCTCCCCTTCTCAGTCTTTTCCTGCTATCTCTCTTCCATAACTCAACTAACCCAACAGAACCAGCCAGTTTTAAATTTCAGTTGGGACCTCAGTGACCTGTTAATGAATCTACAGAGAGGAGGAAAAACTCACTGTGTTGAGTTATGCCTGGTGTTGCTAGCTGACTAGGAGTCAGAAATGCTTGAAGCGTTAACGTAATTGGAAGAATGTGAAAAATGAAGCGTTGGACTCCTGAGCAAAGTGAAAGGTCAAAGCAAGACTTACACAAAACAACTCTCTGGAAGATGGCCTCATTATACCATTAAAACAGTTTCTTTCCTCCCTTGCCCCCACCTAGTTTTCTTCCTTTGTAAAATGTTTAGTGTTTTATTTCTATTAATAGGTTTAATTAATCTTTCTAGTCTTTAAGTAAGCAAGTTAATAAATGCATACAAGAAAAGAAAGCCAAGTATATTTAACTTTTTGATCTTAGATAGAATAATATTGTCTGAAATAATTTTGCCTCTATGGATCTGAACCATGGTAAGGTAGTAAGTGGTACGAATAATAATGCAGCCATTATAATATTACAATGTATAGAATAGTTTACTTGAACAACTAAGATGACTTGCTAAAAAAAACCTTATAGAACCCAGCTAATATAATAAGGATTATCTTTCACTGAATAGTGCTCAAAGACTTTAACTCTTCCACTACCAGCATTTATATTAACTCCATTGTAGTTTTCATTTCATACTTTTTCATTTTATAAGGGAGCACTGTAGCTTTTTCATAAAATATATTTATAAATATAAAATTTAAAATATTTATAAAATATATTCTTTTTTGACACATTTATCTTTTTTGCATCTTTTTGCATTTATAAATAATGATTTGCTAATAAACTTTGTTATGTTCTCCCAAGTTATCAAGTACCATGTGTAGAAGGTTCAACTATTCCAGTGTTGTTCACCTCCTCATGACACACATACAATGAGTATATGCAATGAAAAATGCATTAAGGATTATACCATAAAGTAATATTTCTTGTTTTATCAAAGTATAAAAGCTGGGAAAGAAAAAATGATGTGACACCTACAGATAAACACAGATAGTGTATGGAACAGACAGTAGTGTATTAGAAATCAAGAAGACTAAAGTATGACAGAGAAAGACAGAAACTACTACTACTCGCTTCTCAGTGTATTGTAATAGAGCACTAACCATTTTATATAATTCTTCATCCCAAGGAACTTTTACTGATGTTTTAGAAAATTGCATGGATATGTCTGTGAAATCACCATAGTCAAGTTCAGCTTGAAGGGGAGTTTTACCTTTAGAATCCAATAGCAAACTCCTTTAAACACCTCATTCCCAGCATAGTCAATGGAATTGGGGTTGGCCAAGTCTTAGGGATAAGAAAAGCAGGGTTTGAAGATTTAATCATAAAATTTAAAAAAATTAGATTCCCACATTCTTGATGTGTTAAATTAAATAACAAGGCTTAGAAAAGCACCCTAGATAAGACATGTCAAACTCGCGACATCACATGACATCACACAATGTATCAGGATGGTTTTGCCATTGTTGGCAATGGGGTGGGCGCGGCTTCTACGTGACGCGTCCGGCCTGCAGGCCGGCAATTTGACACCCCTGCTCTAGATGAAAAATATTGGCTTCTGAACATAATATAAACATTGTTGAGTCATTACTGCATCTGACTCAAGTCAATGGAAAATTTTAAAAACTAACTACACTTGTTCAAAGTAGCCTTTTAAAAACTATTTTTAAAGAAAACATGCCTTTTCAACTGATGACTGGTTTTGTTGCAAAAAGCAGCCATACAACCAATTGATATGGCATCCATTACACAGAGATATAATTCCTAGTTCCATCATTCCAATCCAGATTATTTCTCCAGCCACTAGGAAGATATTTTTTCCTGAATGATTCATAGCAGCTTGTGTCTGCATGTGATTTGAATCAGGGCCATTCCTTTAGGCAAGATTTAAATACCTTCTGTGCCACATCATGGCTCAGACCCAAATCACGCCTTGTAGTATGTAGCTATATACCTTAATCTAAGCTTTCCCACAACAGCCTCTAGTCTTGGAAAGAGAAGTGAAAAAATACTGGACAAATATTACTGAGGATGGTCCTGATTTCTGGAACAGAGATAAACAAGCACAGAGTATTTGTTGCTTTAGGACATGAAAATTTACTCATGATGAAGGTAAATAGCTATTAATCTACTTTAGTGAGTTCATCATGGAGTTCATCCAGGAATTATACAGATTCACAATATTCATTTGTTTTTAAATATACACAATCATATATATAGGAATCAATTATTGCAACTGGTATGAATAAGCTTTAAAAAACCCCATCTGAAATATAAAATTTAAACCTGTTGGACAAATTATACAAAGCAAATCTATTTTTGCTCATATGAAAGCAAGCATATCTTCTCTAAACTTTTGGTTTCTATATAAATAACTGGCATCAATAATATACTTTCTTAAACTGAAGTTAACACAATTGTAAAGATGTAGGACAATTTTGAAAAAAACTAGATTATTAACACTGGGAGGTTATCAAATATCCAGTTTAATCTTTGCAAAAAGATGAACAGCTAAATTTTAAGGATTTTTTCTGTTAAGCTCAATAATTAAATATGATTTTAAAAAACATTTTTTATGCAAACTGGAAGTATTAAGTCAATAAAGTGTTAGGCTGAATTCCAATCCCAAATTAACAGGGAGCAAATCCCATTTAATTCAATGTGACTTATTTCTGAACAGCTATGAACATCATTGCCCCATTAAGTGTATAAAATGTTCACGTTAACCATGTTAAAGTAGGACTATAATTATGATGGGCACAATGCCTACGTCTTATACCACAATTCTAAAAATGTTATATGATATAACTAATTTATTAGTCATTAATATAATACAAACTTAACCTATTTCCAATTAAAGCAGGATAGGTAGAAATATTAAGTGGTAATCCACAAGCAACTCATTACAAAAGGAATTCTTAATTGTAATAGACTACTTTAGTATAAAATCTACAATCAATTTCAAGCCATTCGATAAATGCATATATCTTTTGTGTGAATGAGTCAAAATTGTTTTTGTTTTCTTCCTGTACTGGATTAAGAATGTTTCAACTGGCTTGAAAAGCCTTTTTTCAGTTGACAGTAATATTTTTCTATTTAGAGACTAGCATAAATTGCTGCACCACAGCTGGGGTGCATGTCTGCCATGATATTTACTTACACCACACATGCACACACACACACACACACAGAAAATCCTGTAGGTAACTAAATTTGTAAAGGAATTGGCAGAACTAATCAATTGTTATTGCAAAGCTTGTCTGAAGATTAGATATTTGGCTTTGAAATAAAAATAAAATATAGCTAAGGTTGGAAAAAGGAAATAAGTGTCTCCCTAAGTTACAGCTGATTACATTGCAAGCCTGCCACTCTTGTGTTTACACTAAGGCAGATGTACTGATATAATAAAAGACACTGAAGTTATTTTAGTCATGCCTACTTTGCACAGGGAAAAAAAAGCTTGACCTTTTACCTTGCTCACTGCTGTTGTCTCCACTCTGGGAAGCATGGCCCCCACTGGAAGGCCCTGGTGTGCCTGCTGAGTGCGTTGACGTTGCGTCATCATGATCTCTCCAAGAGGAAGGATTCTGGTGTCAGAATGTCCATTTTTTCCCACAGTTATCATTCCAATAGCAAATCGAGGAAGGGAGATTGGGAAGCCAGAAAAAAAGTAGGCAGGTTAGCATTTGCAAATAGTCCTAAAATTCAGACACTGTTCAGAGGCAAATGATTACTGAGTTGCAATCCTATACCATTTTACCTTGGGATGTGTTCTCCTAAAGATATGAGAATTATTTTTGATTCAATAGGTACAGAAATATATTAATGACATACTAACTATATTTAAGTCACTTTCATTTTCATATATTTATACCATAATAAAGTGCAGTTCTAATATTTTAAGGTTTTTCTCCTTAAAAGAGTTTTGTTTTTTACTTTTTATACTTGTAGCAACCAGCTGGTCAGGTAAGGAAATATTTTAATAATTTATATTTACATGGTCATAAAATAATTCCATAGACAAACCAATAAAGGCATATTAAGTTCAATAGCAATTATTCCCAAATAAATCAATATATGATTGCTGTCTAGTTCTGATAATAAAAAAAATCACTAGAGACATTCAAAAAGACAGCTGAACTACTATTTCTCTTTATTTCAGTTTTCCCTATGAAATCTGTAGCAGGGTATTTTTTTCTAATATGGTGTGGGCAATTAATAATTATAACATGCACAAAACCTGTTTTTTTCTCTATTATAACATCTATTACAAATAACACGCTAAACAAAATATACCTAATACGGAAGATGGTGTTTTAAAAAGATTATGCAACTAAAGGTTATGTAAGTTTAAATGGTCAATTGCATCTATAATCTTTCCATCTGATATATAATGGTAATACATGCACTAATTGAAGATTTGACAAAGCTTCCCTAATTCTACAGTAGTTTAGAAATATAATTCCCATTTTTTAAAATTTATTGATCATTGGTTTTTCTGAAGAGAACTGCTACTTTAAAAGGTACATGAAGAAAGCTGAAAGTTGCAGCTAACTGCTACTTCACTAAGCATTTTCTCCTCCTGGTCCTCCTCCCTCTTCCTGATCATTCCCAATACCCTGCTGTTGCTTAAAGGAAAACAGGAATTCTACTGTACAGGAAAAGCTTTATCAGCATCACATGAAGGCAGGCAAGGGATGGAATTTCCTCCAGCAGAAAAGGAGAACAAGAACACATGCAATAGATCAGACTTAGAGCTGAACTTCCATTGCTTGTCACCCGTCCATGACAACTTAAATTAAACACATCCTAACAAGAAGCACTTTTGTAAAATATTCTACATTCAGGGAAATATCATGAGCCCTAAGCAATTCCAAAGAGAAGGCATTAATATTTACTTTGTAGTAAACTTCAGCATCACCTCAACAACTACATCTAAAAAATTAGAAAATTTAGAAAAATACCAATCTATTCAAAGCTGGAGATGGAAAAATCATCCCAATAATTAAAGCTTTTTAATGACTCCCCCAAAATTATTGCGTTTTGAGCCAAATGCTTAATTGCCAGATTGGCAATTAAGCATGTCTACATAATAACTCAAGTTATCATCTTTAAACCATGTTCTAAATAATTTGTCTTATAAAAATATCAAGTAAGCTTAGATAATCACATTCCACAATCAAACCAACACTAAACTGAATGGGCATTAATGTCTAAGCAGTGAAAGCCAGATAAATGGAAACAAATACTTAATAATAACTACACAACTCTCTTACTTAGATCAGTAGAACTATCTACAAAAATAAATCAAAATTGAAATGCAGCATTTAAAAAAATAATTTCCCATCAAACTAATCTACACATTTTTCCATAAATCAATTTCTACATTATACAAAGTCACACTGAAAAATAACAATATGCTATAATTAAAATTAACACTCTTCAAATTAATATTCTCCTCCCACAATGTACAAAAGTAATACCATATTGTAAATCGGGAAGTTTAAAACAAAAGAAAACAAGTTAAAAGAGTCTGAAATGTTTCAATTTTATACTTATATCTATTATGTGTGTCTATATGGAACACACAGATATGTATACACATATGTATACACACACAAAACTATTTCAAAAAAGCAATGATGATTAGATTTCAGAAAAACTTATATGGAAATAAAATGTCACAATCAAGCAAGTTTCTGTGCAGTCTCAGTTAAACAGATTGAGCCTATGAGCTCCTCTTTTTATCTCTGAATTAGGAAACCACTCAAATAGCTTCAAGCTGAAGGCAAACAGCAGACAGGAGCACTTTAGTCCTCTGCAGCCTCTCTCAGCGTCAGCTGTTTGCCGGATGGTAATCAGATAAAGAGTTAGAAGAAATTCATGAAAAAGGTAACAAAACAATAGCCTGGCATGCATTTAGTCCTTCAATATCATGTTGAAAGCTGCTCTTTATAAAATTATAAAACATATTTTCCTAGGACACGTATTTCAGACACTATAATATTAATGCTATGTTCCGCAGGTTTTCTTAAAAGTAGCTCCTGTTGAAAGTTCTTAGTTCACTATTACAATTTTAGTAATACCTTAGTTAAGTTTCAAGGCACGTGTTAACCAAACTCATACAGTACTTGAAAAACCAGGTGTTTCTGGTTTAGAAAAGGACACTGAGTGAAACTTCTTGCAGCAGAAATCATTTGCTTTTTATACCAATTTATGTTATCCTCTACTCAGAGATCCAATCTCAATTAGAAGGGGGAAATACAAGGCTACATACATTTATAGCCATTTGTGGAGTGGAAAACCTATAGCTCTCTTTTTTTTCTTCCCAGAAAAGGAATAGTAGAGGAACTTGGGAAGAATATATGGGATATTTGTGTTTCAACTTCTCAACTGTTCCCTAGCTCTGCCTGACATTAGGTTTGGCTAATAACCATACTCAGTCATTCATTATTAGTATTGTAACAAACATGGCACCACATCCATAATTTGAAAGCATTACTCATGACCAAATAAGCAGTCTCATCCACAAGTCAATGGCAACAATGAGATCTTTCATTCTGGGTATTTCCACAGAATTATTTAAGTAAATTTGGTCACAGATTATTTATTTATTTCATTAGATTAAGATGCTACCCCACTCCACAAAAAAATTAAAGTCATCCTAGGGAGACTTAATTAGAAAAATAACTTTCTACTTTTAACATAGTAGGCTAATAGTGTCCTGCCAGAAGATTTAGCTTTTTTCATCTAAAAGATAGTATGCTACCATGGCATTTTACCTTGAACTAAGATTTACTTGAGAGTGTACTTTGAGGCAAATTTTGGGAGAGAAGAGTAACTGGAAAAGCTGCAAGAGAAGATACTACGAAATTGACCCTTTGCATGAACAGAAATCCATCACATTGTACATGGGATTTGATAGCCCAATTTTCTAGCAAGTTCGCTATGTATTCATACATAGATACTGCACGTTATTGATTAAATCCACTTTCTGAAAATGATTCAAATATACTATTATCTTTGGATGCTAGGACAGTTTTATTTATGTAACCCTGTAGGTTTTGAATAATTGAAATTCATACGTTGATAATCTATGTGCTGAATTCAACTGGAATCAACTTTTCTTATACAACCAGAAGAGTATTGAAGAATTTATATTTCAGTATTGTATAAAAAATCTGGCTAAATTTAAATGTGATAATAACACATACAGTATACATCGTCTCAAACAACATACATACTGAGCTGAAAAGAACATAACCTTGTAATCAGAAAAACTAAACTTTTATACTTATGAAAATATAATTTCAGTATAGCAGTATGCTGAAACATTCAGAAAGCAACTTAGCATATGAAAAACTACCGAAAAAGTTAACTCACGTTATCTAACTATCTTTTGGAAATGGTGTGTTTTGCTAAGACTATTACCTGAAGCCAATGTTTAGTAGCAATGCAAATGTTAAGGGTACTTTGATCATCATCCATATTTTTTAAAATTATTATTCCAACCAATAACTTAAACATGGGGCAGCATAAGAATTGAATTAAGACAATTATAACCTGTCACAGCAACTATTTATTTAACTCTGTACATAATCTTATGACACATATTTAAACAGTAAAAAAGTATGGATATGTTGAATTGAATCACCAGCTGAAGTGCTATGTACTATGGAATGCAGAGTTCACGTGTATCTATTCCCAATAGTTTTAATAATTGGGAGTCAAATATGGCACTCTTCTTGCTCTTATCTAATTGTGTTAAAGAGCAGTGTTACCAGGAGCAAAGCAGTAATACTGAGTGGCACACAATAGAAGGAGATGGAAAATAGATACAAGAAGCTAGGTCTCCAGGGGCAGTATTTTCTATTTGCTGGGCTAAGACTCACAGCTGATAATGCAAGTTGTAATTAATATAAAAGCAGGAGACAATATGGGGAAAGCTTGTACTAGCAGGGCCACAGGAGATCACTCTACAGCTATCTACTGTTTCTCATTTATGTATACAGCTTTTCACAGAAACACAATTTTACCAGTACAGTATTTTTTTCCCTTGAAAGTTAAAAAAAAAATGATTTCGCACCATCATTGGATTCTGCTAAATCTAAAGAAGAGCGTGGAAAGGACAAGAGTCTAGGCATATGAAGCAAATAAACTGCATACTATTTTGCTGTTCTTACAAATCTAATGGAAGTTTTAAATGTTTTAACTCCTACATGCTTTTTTTTTAAAGAAATGAAATATTTTCAACACAGACCTGTTTTATAATAATTATTTATTAACATTCCTCAGTGGCATGTAATTGTTTATATGCTTGAATACTGGTCACTCATCTTGTACAATGCCAAGGTTAGTGATTTAATAAGCCTCAAACTTCTGTGTAAATGACAGCTTACACAGATACAGATGGATTAACTCTGCATTCCTTATGCAACCCAAACTTTCACTGGGCAAAATCACTTTAATTATGCAAGGGGCCCCCTGTGGGGTCGATTCTGATCTCACACTGTTTTTATAGCAGTATAACTCAATTTTTCATTAAGAAATTATTTATATTTCAAAATAAAATATACAAGTTAAAAAT